GTGCTGCCACTTCCAGGCCCTGCAAGGCCCTTCGTCAGAATACAGCAAACTGGAGAGACGGGCAAATCGGAAATAGAGATCCGCTCCTTCTAAGTCAACGGCAACTTACTGTAACGTTTGGCTGAATTTTATGTCCCACAGTCAGGAGGAGGAAACATTCTTTTAATGAAAGCTGGATTCATAGGTGTAACATGTTTACAGTATACATCACCGTTTTTTAAACAAAACTGTTACATCTATACGGTTCATCCTCATAACAATGCATTGTGTGTGTATGTGTGTGTGTGTGTGGGGGGGAGAGAGGTTGGTTAGGGTGTTAGGGTTAGGCTGGAGAGGCTATGTCCGCAGCTCTGAAAATTTGTTGCATCTGACATTTTCTATTTTTGGATCCTATATACACATAGAGTGCAAAACCACAGACACACACACACACACACACACACACAGAGAAAGGTTTGTAATTATAGCTTTGTGGGGACTCTCCCGCACACATTACAACCTTAACCCCTACCCAGCCCTAACCTTAAATAACCAAACAAAACATGAGACTTTTGGCATTTTATCATTTTTAAATGCAGTCACAGATCTTTGTGGGGACCCAAAAGAAACAGGTTTTTATTACATTGTGGGGAACATTTGGTCCCCACAAGGTAATATAACCCTTATTTTCACACTCACGCACACACACACACACATATATATATACACAGATCTCACAGAAAGTCTTGGGGCACTTGATTAATTCAGTAATAATATGTTTTTAAAAAATTTAGTAGAAATATTTATTTCAGAAAAAATATTTAATATTTTTTTGGTTTTATAACAAAAACCGTGACTCTATTAATTTCTTTACCAATATATATATATATATTCCATTAGAAACAATGAGTAAAACATTTGAAGTAGTAATAAACTGAAACCCAAATTATGGTTCTAAAAGCTGTTCTGAGTAAACAAGTTCATTGCCAAGCAGTGTCACTGGGTACTTTTCAATTAGTAACACCTCTGCAATAACATAAAACAGCAAGCACTGATGTTTAGTATCCCTTTGGGAGCCAGTGACTACAATTACAATTAATAGCAAAATGGCTAGAACAGAACTGAATGAGTCAGTCAAAAAAACTGTGAAAACTAATAAGAAAATGTTTGAATGATATGTACAGATATCCCAGGAGTGTCTGTGAGCACTGTGCGCACACACACACATACACACACACACATATAGCCATGGGAAAAATAAAGAGACCACTATATTTTTAAACAAATCTGATTCTTAAATCCTGGTTTAATCCTGGTTCTGCTGGGTTATGCTGAGCAGCAGGTTGCTTCCAGGTTCAAAATTTACACAAGATTGAATTGAAGCAGGAGACACTGGGAATGACCAGAAACCAGCCAGCTAAACGGCGGAAGCGACTTCCTAATGCCAGAGACAGAGTTAACTTATCCGACAGTTTCTCATGAATCGTAGGATGACATCAAGTGACCTTCAAAGGGAATGGGAAACATTAAGTGCAGGTGTGAAGTGCACTGATAGGACAGTTTATAACAGGATCAAAGAAGCAGGACTGGAGTCCCATAAAGCAGGGAAGAATCCCTTCATTAATGAGAAACGGAGAAGAACCAGGCTGCAGTTTGCAAAAATATATATAAATATTATTCACAGACGCATGTCCATGAATCGAGAAATGAGTGAAAGAAAAATTTGTGGTCTCTTAAATTTTTCCGTGGTTGTATGTATATATACATGTATATACACACACACACACACATAATGTATATGTGCATACACACATACACATATATACGTATCTATTTCTATGTGTTGTATTGTTTTTTTTTTTTGGAAACATTTTAAATGAATGTAAAACATTTTCCAAAAAGCAAAAAGAAAAAAAATCAGTTACTGTCCATTGTTCCCAGAATCCCTTGCTCTGATTTTTGTTGTTCTGACATGGACCGATTTTTTTTTCTTTTATGACATAATGTATATTTTTTCTGCAAAGGCGAAACATTTAAAAGCATAGTATGAAACAGCAGAAAGATGATTTTGTTGAGACTGTTTTGATATTAGTTGATATAAGTTTAAATGTTGGTACTCTTATTATTATTATTATTATTATTATTATTATTATTATTATTATTATTATTATTATACAAGATTAAGTACGATTAAGAATGGTGAACCTGGTTTTGGTTACTACAAATTCTGTCCTTGTTTTCTTATGCATTACATTTAGATAAGGAAATCTCTGTTGCTCTTTGATCATTTAGCTATATAATTATTTTAATAAATAATATGCTAACAGTATATGCATATTGTAATTGAATTTATTACCTTATAGCAAGGATTTCTAACCTTTTTTAAAATGTGAGCTACTTCCACAACCAAAATAATCGTACGCAACCATAATAAAGTACTCAAGATCATGGGTGTCGCCGCCATTAAATTTCATAATTATTTGTTTGGACCCCCCACATTTAACATAAAATATTACTGCCCCGTCAGTGTGTCCTCCCCACATTCAAAATGCTACTGACGCCCCTGCTCAAGATGCTCCTTCGCTCTCTGCTGGAGACGAGTAGCTTGCCGCTGGTGCTGCCACTTCCAGGCCCTGCAAGGCCCTTCGTCAGAATACAGCAAACTGGAGAGACGGGCAAATCGGAAATAGAGATCCGCTCCTTCTAAGTGTACCGCTTAGTACACCAGTGCATGGTGACGGATAATTCGGATCTTGCGAGGCAGAATACTACCGTGATGGACACATTTACAACGGGGCCCATTTTCCATGCAGAGATGCAAACCAGATATCGCTAGTTTCAGATTTTGGGCTAACCTTGGTCAGCTATGTTTGGCCTAGAGCCCCTGAAGTTTGCAAATGTCTAGATATTTTATTTATTTATTTTTTATCTAAACCTTTATTTTACCAGGCAAAGCATTAAGAACAAATCAATCAAATAAATCAGTATGGCCCACAATATCACCCTTCTCACATGAATTAATGTTCTTTCTTTATTTATTTCAGCAGAAAATGAAAGGCTGGGCCTTGTGCTTCTCACTACATGCATCCAAATAAAATAAATCTTGCTGACATGATTCTCGCTGTCGCCTCTGACGCAGTCTGCATGCATCTCCCCAGCCTGGTCTCCCATAGTCTAACGCAACATAATCCTAAATATTTTAACATAGGCATGTGTGATATATATAACTTGCCCAAGGCCAGGGGATACACACACACAATTTTTACATAACAAAGTTTCTAATATAATAATTATTATAATAAAATAATTGCCTTCAGGCGTTAAATCTTTTTTACAGAGGCTCGGTGTGTAGCAGTGTGGCCCCCTCACCGCCAAACACCAGGGTCTCTGTGTGTGTGAAGGTTACGTTAAAATGCGTGGGTGGGTTTCTTCCTGCGCTTTAAAGGCATTCTAAACCCACGCTATCAGATAGTGTGTGTGCGTGTGTGTGTGCGTACATGCACGCACACATATAGTTGCGTTGGGCTAGCATCCCGTCCAGGTCTGGTGTTCTGTCACTATCCCTCTTCATCCCATGACTCTGTTTTATATTAATGATAAGCCAATTATAGTAAACAATGAATTGAAATTTCCACAACTTATTTGAGAAAAGCTGTATGTAGATGCAGACATGCGTGATCGGATTGGGCTGATGGGGTTGTGGGCTGGGAAATATTTGTTGCCCCCTCTACCCCCCGATTTTTAATCCCAGTCCAGCCACGGGCACAGTAGGTTCATTGGGGCTATTTTTCACAAGTATTTTGAAATTTAATATATTACCAAATGCATAGAAAGCATGGTGCCATTGAGCTCTTATTATGGACATAAATCGCAAATTTCTAATTTAAAAGAAAGACATAGACTTCAGACCCATGAAAGTGAAACTGAACTCAATGTTTTATTAATTTTCTTAAAAGATTCATTATAGATTAATTTTAGGGAAAAATAATATGTCTTACAGACACCTTATAGTTTATAAAACAAATCATAATAGTTAATATAAATTAATACTATAAACGAACAATAGACTGCAGACGAATCTATTGACATGGGGAATTCTTCATGGCGCTACATTGAAATGCTAACTGTTTATTACACACATTTTGCCCATCAAGGCAGGTAGCTAGTGAAGTATTTCAGTTAGACAGCTAAACCTGCCGAAGTTTTATTCTTAACCATCTCTGCAAGAGATGTGGCCCCCAGCCCAGTCACACCCCTTTAAACAGATACAACTGATAATGCGGAAGCACTCCGAACTGCTTATGGCTGCCGTTTCTTCCTGGAACTAACAAAATGTGGTTTCCCAGGCAAGCTTTGAGTAGACCCCCCCTCCCCTGAGACACACTTGAAACAGATGCACTGTGCCCCCACATTTTGCATGCTCAGAGACAGGCATTCCTGAAGGCATGCAGACATGCACATTTCCCATATGCATTAGTGCCTCCTTCCATGTCGACATGCCAGCAAACTTGCATCGTGTAACGCACAGGTCTCCGCCTGTATCACCGTTTACCTTTTTTAGTCCATAGACTGGCCATCTGGTATACCAGCCGTTTTTCTGGTGGACCGACAGGTTTGCAAGTCGGCAAAATTCAACCTAGGGGACCTCCTTAGTGCCGCAGGGAATCCCTCTCCGGCTCTGTAAAATGTACTGTGGGGGGGCCCCCAAAATCCAAGTTTTATTTCAAGACGAATCCTGGGCCCCCCTCCTGGGTTAACGCGTCCAAATCGAAATAATCCAGGCAAGAAGTCACCCCGACACCCCAACAAAACTTTTACTGTCTCTACCTGTCAGTTGACAAGTTTTATAGTTGCTGCCCCCTCCACTTAGCAAATTTAGGTGGACCTCACCTTTTGATGGCTCACTGCTTGCACCATATAGCACAGTTTTTCTTTTCAGTTTTTACCGTGGCTAGGTTGACCTGTACGGTAACGATAACGTGAATGAGGCCTTTTCTGGCCACGTCGCTGTTTTCTCTCATGTGGACAGGTGATACGTTTATACTTACAAAACCCAAGACTGGATGCCAGTCTACTGCATGCACTGCAACCACAGTGTGGGTAACATAGACACTGATTAGCCCATCTGCACGTCTCTGGACTACGGGAGGAAAGAGGAGTAGCTAGTGGAAACATACAGGACTCGGGGAGACCATGCAGACGCACAGAGCAGGAGTGGGACTGGAAGTCCCTCCCTTGGTGGTATAAGCTGACAATGCTGCTCTCCGAGTCACAATTGCTATATGGCCTCGTCATGAGATGGTTTGCAGATATAATGAGCATAGTAATTAAAGGTAAAGGATCCGACTCAGATTGTTGTTTATTAAATCGAAGCAGTTATAGAAGATCATGTTGTTGTGCTGTCTGAACAGACCTTGAAGAGGAAATTTGTTTTATAGGATGCTAATATCCTATTATAGGATGTTAATTGCTTAGTTAACTTTCCTCTGGGATCTCCTGCACAAAAACATGGAGTTAAGGCTAAGTCTAAACTGCCTATAGTGTGTGTGCGTGTATTAGAGGTGCACATGGATGGTATTATTTGTCTCTGTCTCTGTCTCTGTATCTGTTCAACCAACAAAACTGTCTCTGTCTCTGTCTCTGTCTCTGTATCTGTATCTGTATCTGTCTCTGTCTCTGTATCTGTATCTGTATCTGTCTCTGTCTCTGTCTCTGTATCTGTATCTGTATCTGTCTCTGTCTCTGTCTCTGTCTCTGTATCTGTCTCTGTCTCTGTCTCTGTATCTGTCTCTGTCTCTGTCTCTGTCTCTGTCTCTGTCTCTGTATCTGTATCTGTATCTCTATCTGTATTCAGATAGAAGTGCGGAAGTGGGTGTGGTTTATACCGGAAGCCCCATTAAAACTGTATTTTATTTATGGGTTCTCATTTTAAATAAGGGTTCTCATTTTAAATAAGAGTTCTCATTTTAATTCAGGGTTCTCAACCTCCAGGCTGCAGACCATTTTTCTACCGGGTGGCAGAATTCTGGGGGTTTTGCGCAGGGGGGTTAACTTCCAACATTTTTTATGACCCCTCATGTTCGCACATTCTCTTTGCATCTGAAAAAACTGGAATCTCTTGAAATCGCCAGTTGACCTGTGGGCAGCCCCCCCGCCCCCACGCGCGTTTCCCAGAGTGACAGCCAGGGAAGGTCAGCTTTCAGCCCGAAGCCTGCTGTCCACTAGCTTGCTGGGTCCATTTCAGAATATAACGATCAAATTGAAATATCTTTACAGTGCATTATCTGTGCATTTCCAAATAATGTATTTGTATCCGGATGCATCCCTAGCATGTCTGTGTCCTGCAAAGGACTGGAATCCCATCCAGGGTGTCCCTATATCGCCTGGGATAGGCTCCAGGCCACACAAACCAGGAAAAGCAGTTTGAAGAAGGCTGGAACCCAGGAATTAGACTTATATGAAAGCTTTAAGAAACTGTAAAATAAGTTGGTGAGTATATATCACCAAGTAAATGTAATAATTAACCTTAACTAGAAAGCCAAAATTTCCAGGTTTTGTACATCAGTATAAATAAAACTCTTTGTTCTTTGTAATTATGCAGCTACACTTTGAAAGTTCCTTTTAAAATAAATATCTAGTCCACAGAACCATAATGTGTAGAACAGACACAATGGAGGAGACATTTTTTCAGTTTTTAATAAGAATGTTATTCTTACAAGTTGATGGTAAGATGCGTGTGACCTTCACAAAAAATACTGTGACTTACTGCATGTTTCCACATAGTAAGATCATTCTGATTAACGGCACCAAGCCCTAGAGCGTATTTTCCTCTGATCATGCAATTTCAAGACTGCTAAGAAAAAAAGCTTAATTTTGAAAGGAAATTATGACAGCAGGATGTTTACATATAGCTCTATTTTTATGAATGGCACAGCACCCACAGTATTACACAAGCCTGTTGAATGCTGCAAGATGTAACATTATTTATTTTTAGTTCAAACTAAACAGATAATGCCATCCAATTTTCATACGAATAATTTCTTAATAGAATAGCAGTGTTAACTGCATTCAATATGGAAAAAAATGCAGAATATCTAAAAAGTTTAACAGCTTATTAGTAACAAATGAAACATTTAAAAATATAAAATAATGATTCTGGTAAAACAAAATGAAGATTTAAAATATACTGTAAAAGTTATGATTCATTGGGCACAAACTCAATGAGAGAATTTTCACAGTATTTTTTGTTATGTATATTAGGCATATTATGAATTGTTCTAAATGTTCAATTTTTTATTACCCAGTTAATGATGTTTTAAAATGCTGCAGCACAAATGTTTTCTCTTTCATGTTAACGTAAAACTATTGCAAATATTCAATCAAAAATGTAATTTTTATACAAAGTTGAACACTTGATTTTATAATACTATACCTTTTGATAAGGGTACTACCATGGGCGTTTATAGGTGCGATCACTGGGGCTGTAACCCTGAGTTTTTTAAGCCGAGCCCCGAGTATTTTAGCCCAATCTACCTTAAATAATAATGGTCAAGCCCCAGGTAACCTTGACTTAGCTCCTGATCTTTTCGATAGCTAGAAACTCCCCGGAGTACTACTCTTTTTTGTAAAAAATAAAACTTATTTGTTTTACTTGATAATTGTTTATGATATACGTAACATTTTAATCTTAGCGACTTAGTCATGATGGCTTAATCTAATATTTCCACCATTTAAATTACTTCAGACTAATATTATTCTGGGTCCAATGTCTCAACAATTTTCCTGGAAAAAACTGAGGTTATAAATTAATTTTTTTTTTTTACTTGAACAAATGAAAAAAGTAACTCATCTACTACAAGAAACTACTAAAATAACAAAGCATCAGCAATAGGAAAATCTTTCAAAAGTTGTGGGTATTGAGCTTAGTACCACTAATGTGGTCTTTGCCAGTCCTGCTGACCCAGATGGAGACCGAGTTGATGTCTGCTGGGCAAAGGCTCCAGATCAGGAGGAATGAAAGGACTGCAGTCTAGCCGGTCCGTTTTACACCAGCGACAGCGTATGCATCGTCTCTGGTTCTAGGGTTTAAAACCTGGAATAGAAGGAGACATTTATTCATACATTTTACAATCAAAGTTTCTTACGTGCTGAAGCCCAAACCTCCTCGAACTTCTGAAGTTTGTGATTCATGCCACTGGGGAACATAATGGTCCATAATGGAACAACTTAATGGTCCATTTATTTCAATTCATTTTATTTTGTTAATTTTATTGTTAGTTTGAGTGCTGCGGGTATTATTCAAATGGGATCATTTCAGATGGCTAGAACAAGTCATACTTAAATAGGATTTAACATTAACAAAAATGTGAACAATGCAAAACTTTAACAGCATTAAATTACAGTCAAATTCAATTTGGTTGCAAAAATATAGCACCAGTTCCACTGCTGAAATTATTAATTCTGAAAATAAAAAAAATTAAATGTGACCAAATTTACACTGTTTTGTGGGAAAAAAACTGAAATGCTGAATTTTGGTTTTGCATTTTGAGCTAAATTTTTTGGACTTTACTGAGTATAATGTTTGAACAAAAAATGAAATAAAAAAAATCAAATATATTTTTCGAAATGTATATTCCGTTTTTCTATTGGTCTGCTTAGTAACGTTAAGGTTGCTATTGTCGACGATGAGAATTCATTTGACAGTATATCGCAATTACTTTATTCGTAACTGTATTAATTTATTAGATTGCATTTACAGTTTAATCCAATTTAATGAGATTTTTAGTTTGTAATGACCAATTCCTTTTATTTATTTTTTTTGCGTTAAGTTTCAGAAACACAAATTCATAGCTTATCATCGGCTTGAGGGTTTTATTGAAGTGTCTTTCTGTGAAAAACAGTACAATACTTCTGGATGTACACATTGACTAATAGGAATGTCTATCTGTCCATATAAGAAACACAAGGATAGACAGACGGGTGAGTGAACATACCTCATAGTCCCGGTTAGGCACAGCTGGCCCACGCTGTCCACCTCGGGGCCCAGAGCGGGCAACAGCTACATGACAGCGACACAAAAAAATCATCAGTCCTCTGTAATGTGTATCGACCGATGAGTCCCCTTGGGCCCAACGGCGGCCTTACCTGATGCCGGCGATGACCCAGACTTTTTCTGGGCCCAGTAGTAGATGAGGATGACGACTCCACCAGTCACCAGCAGGTCCCCAATTATAATACCGACCACCAGAGTTCCGTCCAGCTCATAGCAATCAGAACATACTAGAACATGGAGGGGGGGGGGTTAGGGTAAGGAGGGCAGAGATTGGGAAAAGCAGGAAGGGGGGGGGCAGGTGGGAGGGGGAAGGAGTTCGAGTTTATGGGGAACAAAAGGTAAATAAGACATAATTTATAGCACAGACAAAAAAGGGGGAATTAGGCAGGAAAATCAGCAGGCTGGTAAGTTGTGTGTGGCTGTCATTGTTTTCTATTGTATTACTCTTGTTCTTCATCTCTGATTGGCTACATAAAACATAAATTCAATTCTAGCCTACATTAAAAATCAGGTGATTTAATTAACAAAAATATATATTCTCACCATATCCTTTAATATAAAAATAGTATTTGTCACTATTTGTTGTTTTGCAATGTCGCAATCCTTTCGTTTCTGCTGTATAATTTAGCGTTCGACTTCTCTCTTCCGTTCTTTGTTGATCGTCCCAAGTTGGAGAGTCATATGGACATGTCAACATCATTTTCTCTTTCCAGAAAGCTACATTGCCAGCTAAAAAAAAAAAAAAAAAAAAGATGAGACAAAGAATGCAATTATTCCAATACAACTGTCTAAACACTAATTACCCATTGTAATCTTCATTTGTCAACCGTTTAAAACATGTTTCATTCATTTAATACCTTTTTAGGTATTTAGTTTTAGAGAAGTTGGCAAATACTGATACAATCTGATTGATCAATACTGTATGAATTATAGACACACGGAAAATACCAGAACAGTAACAAAATAAATCATAACCCACCATCACCCTGTTATCAGCAAACCCACTGAACGCACACGCAGCAACAACAAAATATCGTTAATCGTGTTAATGAATTTTTGTATTTGAGTCTGCTAAGTAGTTAATTATGAAAAATGAGTTTGTTTTCTGCCATAAAGACAACTATGAAGTAATGATGAGGAATATATCAGCAGAACATACGCTCTCCTGTTTCCGCCATGACTGTCAGCCAAAGGGTGAAGAAGAGAAACACGGTCTTCATTTTGCACGCTGAGAGTCTTCCTCAGTGTCGTTCCAGGTGATCCCAAATGTCACTGGGCTGATTCTGAGTTACGTTAGAACCGGAACACAGAAATGGAGAAAAAGAACTATTTTTGTGAGTATTATGGAGCTCCAGCCTCTGAAGTAACTTTTCCCCTTGCTCTCTCTCTCTCTCTCTCTCTCTCTCTCTTTCTCTCTCTCTTTCTTTTTTATCTCTCTCTCTGTCTTGGCAGGAAGCAGCAGCAGTTTAGGTTGTGCTCTGTAGGCCCAGCGCCTCTGTACACTGAGGGGGAATGTTAGACTCACTAACATGGTGTCTTATAACTTTTTATGTCTTATAAGCCAAAATCCTTCTTTTTAATAGAGAGAAGGATACATCCCTGGTTAAAAAAAATACAACTTACTGATTTTTTTTATACAAATCCCCATCTGTTTAAGGTTGGTATGATCCAGGGTCTGGATGGGGTGAGTGAGTCATGGGGCAGGAGATCTGATGCATCCTCACTCTCAACCCGAGATTTAGGCCACCTGAACATCACCTGTTCACCAGCAAGGCTTTATTGCTGGAAATGCAGCTTCAGTTAGACATGAAAAACCATTCCATCCATGCCACTGAATCTAGTTCAAAGTGGGAGTGAATGTGGAGCTGATCCTAGTGAACACAGAGCACAAGGAACGTGAGATCCTACGGCGGAAGGGCAGTGCATCACCTGGTACACACACAGACACACACACACACACACACACACACACACACACTGCAGGATACAACTTTTGTTTCTATGTAGGGCAATATCGCATGTTTTCAAACATCGACAAGCTCACTCATTCCCCCTTGTGGCCTTTGAGAATCTGCACCACAATCCCATTTGGCTTCTTGTAGCCCTATTCTGATGTGACAACATCCAAAGTACTGATATCACTATATCACTACCTCTGACTACTAATACAGTGTCACTGTTATTATACCAAAAAATTTAAGTGCATAGATATAAAACAAAATGTTTAAATGTTATGAGGACTGACTCTTTCCTCTGGTAGAGTAAAGGCTATGATAAAGGCTATGGTATAGGTTGCCTTGGTAATTTAGATGCCAAAAATCCAGTTCATCCTAAATCTCACACTGCTCCTTGTTTCCAGCTAATAAAACACTTATAATACTCAACATCCATGCAGTGACTCTTGTATGTAAATGAAAGTCATTAATAGATGCAGGACTTGTAAGATAAAGAGAAGAATTTGTATTATAAAAAGATCCTTTCAAAGGACACAGTCATACGCACCTTGTGCATGGATTAATTAAAAAATAAACCCAAGAACATATACACAAAACAACAATTCATTTCTATGTTGTGTCTTCCACATTTGACTTATACGAATCATTTATTTCAATACGTTCAATACCGTAGTGTATTTCCTGACCATTTCATCCCACTCAAATTAAAAATAAAAGTTTAAGGTTACATGAGGGGGCACAAGTAACTTAGTAACTCATTTATTACTCAAGTATAAATCACAAGCAAATATACTAACTGGATGAAGTACATGAACCATTAGGACCGATTAATGATCAACGAACATACAGTAGGATCAGTACATGACTAACACTTAGTTTCTGATTAATTAATACATTAATTAAGAGTGTATTACTACATTTTTTGTGTCCCCTCAAGTAGTGTTACAGTTCAAAGTATCATTGAATACCTGACAATAAAAAAGAGAACTTGCTGTACATATTTTCCGTTACCTGATCTGATGGGAATCCCACGACTGTGCTGGAGATGATTTTGGCCTTGTTGACCTGGGGTCATTCTGAGGTTGTCTTAGTTTCCAGGGCTAAGGTTTAGTGCTTTTAAACAAGGGAAAGGAAACAGTTACTCATACTTTTTAGTATAAAATTAAAGTATTAGATAGTAGCAATGGAAAGATAGCTAGCTGTTAGCATCGTAGCTGCATGCCCCCAGGGCAGCGGATTTGATACTCTGCGTTAGCATGGGTTTCCGCTCGCGTTTCGAAAACATGCAGCTAGGAGACTTTGTTCATAGTGTGCAGCTGTGTTTCCTGTGATGGACTAACGAGCTGCCCAGGGTTATCTGCTACACAATGATTCCTGGGATTGATTCCGAACTTAGCCTGGGCTTGTACAGGATAAGACATTCTGGAAGATGGTAGATGGTATTCAGCTACATTCAGCGCTCATTAAATTGAGGGACCATTCTAAATTTTAGGATTTATAACATGAAATATTCTATATAAAATATTTTAATGTCATTTTTGCTTTTTAAACTACCTTTGAGCCCCCACAGCTGTGATTTACAGTCTGTGCTTGGTGTAACATTAGTGTAACATATATTTCTTCATTAAACAGAATGGATGCATAAGTGCTTAACCCAGTCATTGTAGGGCAACTGTTTGACAAAGTCATTGTGTTACAGACAAATCCTAATATGCAAGACTCTAGTATCACAACTATGCTATATTTCAGGGGGTTTGAACCTTCCTTGGGGAGGCACAGATCAGGTACTTCACCATTAATGTGGGTTAAAATAAGATAAGTACATAAATAATGAAGAACTTCAGACCAAGGGAGGAGTTAAACATTTCTGCTTCAGAGGGCTGAATTCCACATCGCATAAACTGAACGATTCGTCAGTTAAAAACACAGAGGGCTGACAACCGCTATTCTGTTTCATGCCATTAGAAATGTAATTATTATGAGGTCACAGTCATATCTACTGTACTTAATTCCTGTCCCTTGGTTGTTTCCTTTGTATAAATTTGAACAAATCTAACAAAACCTTTTTTGGCCTGACCTCAATGCATGCAGACAGACAACAGGAAAAACAGTCAGTGCCCAAAATTAAATTGTAAACTTTTTCACAGTGTTTTGTTGTTTGATCTTTGAATTCGCATTCATAAAATCATTTATATTTATTGTACCTGACTGCACATTATTCTTAATTTTACCTAAACATTATGTTTCAATATCTTAGTTTAACATCAGTTGACTGAAAGACTTTACTGACTAAAAAGATAGAATGAAAATGCCAGTTAGTAATTTACAGCAGCTACTCTACAGTAATCAGCTTTTATGAAAGTTCTCTGCTTTTTAAAATATATTTATTTTCAGAAAAGTTGACAAATACTTATACTTTTTATATTTACTTCATATGACATCAACATTAATAACAGAAAAAGAAAACTAAGGTTATAAAATATGCAAATATGTTAAAACTACAATTCGGTTTCTCTCAACACTAATAAGGAATAACAGTGTAAGTCGAAATTTTATAACCAACTTTTTTTACTTGAACGGGAGTATTTCAAAAATAAATTAAATGATCCGTAATTAAATGCTACAAGTCGGAAATATCAGAAACCTGCTTTTCCGTAAAGCCGCCTCCTCACCTCTGACCACCCGGGCCGTCAGGCTGAGGAAGATGAACACGGCTCGCTTGCACCTCGATTCTCTCTCTGTCCGTTTGGTCATCATCAGCCCAAAGGCCGCCCAGCCTGATCTCGAAACGGGTCAGAACTCGATGTGGGAGCAGCGGCATGGTGGAAGAGGAGCTGCTGAAATAGCCCTTCAGCGCGGAACCTCAGGCCGTCTTTTGTCCTTTGCCTCAGCGCTGCCTGTGTCTCTGTTAAGGCAGGAAGTAAGAGCATCGAAGTGTCTGCCCTCTACATCATCAAGAGATTGAGTGTTCCATCACAGATGCGTTAAGGGGTCTTTTCACAAGCCTATAAGAAAGAAACCAGCAGTGAGATTTCTTCTCACTAGTTACACTTACAGTGAGGGTCTCACAACGCACATATATATCCCTGTAAACTTAGAAAAATCTGCATCTTTAGGTAAGACTGACAGAAATTGTTTGGATATGATAAAAAGCATTTGTTATAAACCTGTATTGTACATATTGTTTTACATTAAATAAAAGCATAAGAAAATCTGCTTCAGTGAAAATCTGAATCTGTATGTATTTTTTTTTTGCTACGTGGTACCAGTGTTGTGGAAGTTCACTAACTTTCAGATATTTTGTCTCTACTCTTCTTCAGACTGTGCATAATACACTAACTCTGCATGACTACGCTCTTTGTTGCTCTTCTGACAAGTTAAACCCAAAAAGTTGAAAATATTAATGCAAAGTTTTTTTAAAATAACATAGATAAATCAACAATAGGTAAATTATCATTTTCTATCTAGAAACCCATAGTGAAATTAGCTTTTTTGAGTGCTAGTGAAAACTTGCGTGCATGGGATTGAAATTTTCGTGCATTTAAATACGACCCTGAGATGTATTAAAATATAGAGGCCCCATCTGACACAATGAGTAGCACAGCTGTTTGCAGACCACCTGCTTATGGGTTCAAACCCCTAAAAGGTGAAAGCTCTAATCATAAATACGCTTCCCACAGTTGTACACATATTGTGTGCACCGTCCAGCTGTGAGTGCAGAGTCCCTCCCTGCATTTGGGATCCCCATCCTCACCTCCTTTCCTCCTCTCTTGGTGGCTGACTGCGATTTTTACACTCTGCGAGCTCCAAGAAATGGCAAAGCGAGAAGGAGGTGAGAGCGAAGCTGAGAACAGGCAACCTTTCGCTCCGTAATCCCCCGGGCCCATCTGGCCGTAGGTGTATTTGGACCAGATACAGAGGCCATCTTTTCCGTCGAGTGGAAAACAAGTCAGTGAGAATCTGTTTTTTACTCCATGAGGTCTGACTCTAAGAAATGTTTGGGAGTGAAAGTGACCTCCTCGCCACCCACTAGGAGACCCTAAAGGTGGCCACAGTGCACAGCCATCGCATTACTGGAACAATACAGGCCGTCATAAATGACCCAAACTCCTCAGGACCCGTTGGATCTGGGTCAAGCTAATATTTTTTATAAGCCCGTTTTCATGGGAACACGCATAAGGAACTGAAGCTAGAAATCAAGTGTTACAAACACATTATTCAAAGAAAAAAGCTTTGCTTTTCACTTAACACATGAAGCTGGTATGATATGAACAAAAATGTGAAAGATTTTACATGCTGAAAAACTGAAAACACTGAGCTTCAACTGAAATTGTAACTTTATTAATATTGTGCCCTATGAATGAGGTACATTTACATAGCACTTTTTAAGACACTCAGGGTGCTTTACAGAGGCAGTGGGCACTTCCACCACTGTGTGCAACCCACCTGGATGATGCAAAGGCAGCCATTCTGCCCTGCTACACACACCAGCTAAGGTGGAGAAGGGGCAGGACAGAATTCATCAGTTAGATATAGGGGATGGTTAGGAGGCCAGATTTGAGAGGGTCACAGTGGGCAATTTTAGCCAGGATATTGGGGTACTGCTCCTACTCTTTCAAAGGATCCCCAAGGATTTTTAATGACCTGAGAGAGTCAGTACCTCTGTTGTACCTCTCAGCCAAAGGATGGCACTATGTCCTCATAACTACACTGGGGCATTGGGATTCACACAGACCACAGGACAGGCTAACCTGTTGGCAATTACAACAGCTATCCTAGTCACCCATCCAAGAACTGGCCAGGCCCAAACATGCTTAGCTTCAGATGGATTACTTAGTGTGAGCTGCAGGTGGTATGGCTGCTGCAGTGGTTTGGGAGGTTAAGCTTCATGCTCACCATGATCTTTCACTGAATGGTTTTGGAAAACAATGGGATTATAGCACATAATGCCAATATACATTCATACATATATTGTCAAGATTGCTTTATTTTAACTGGGTAAGAGGTTTCAAATTGATAAAGCTTGATTCTGGCCTCGTTACAGTTCTGTTGTTGAGGTTGGTAAGAATTTAATGAAAACCCTACAGAAACACATGGCACAGAGAAGCTCTGTTGTAAACAAAACTCTCACACATTAGTTCTCTGTGGTGTCAGGGACAGAGTGGCCCCATCGAGAGCAGCTGTACATTTCCTGGGGGGCCGGTGTCTTTTCCGGTCTGGTCGAGCTGTCGTTCACCACCTTTCAAATCTTCATAAATAAATGTACATGCATTTAGTAAATCGATGAAAAAAATGAACCCTCCCCTAGTGGTATGACCCTGCAACACGCACATGTGGAGAAAATGTGTTGTCACTTCCTAAAATTAAAAAATTAAAATGGTACAAACCTGCTTTGTGTGAAACTAAACTGGATGGATGGGCAATACCATCCAATTTTTGTTTGGATCCAATTTCAATTCTCTCCAACACTGGTGCAGCAGAGAAACATGCAAACGCCCAGCCACGCCAGTGTGAGACGCCAGTGCGAGACGCCAGTGTTACTCACTGCACCAACATGTCACCCTTTCTTATTACATATTTCCATATATTTGGATATTTGCAGAAGTGACAAAACATGTATTAATATACATTATATAAAGCTGCAAGTCAGGCTTGTGACAGTGTACATATCCTTTGTCTTCTTAAAACCAAAGATTTCCTTTTTACCTACGTACATAAGTACATGGCATGACACTTAACTCCTTTCAATGTATTTTTTTCTTGTGAAACAAGATTAAACACACAAAATGAGTAGCTGGGATCAGTTAGCATTTCCCTGAAACATTACAATGGTCTTTGTAGAGTAAACTGACCAGTTGCTAGTAACCAACTTTTTTCTACCTTCAGGAAAGGAAACAGGAAGTAGCATCCAGCTCTGCAGGTGTGTTTAAAAGCATCGTGAAGGACATCATAAGTAACAAGGTCAACGTAAGAATAATGGGTAATAGGTCCAATGATGACACTTCATTATCTTCACATTAAGCAAATTCCAATATATTTTTATTTTTTGGCAAAATGTAACAGTTTTATTTTGAATTGAAATGCTTTTAAACAAAAAGATATAAGCTTTTATTTGTATCAAAAACTGCAAGATATAAAAGATGTATGAAAAAGCATGCAGATGTTTCAAAGATCTCAGCCAGCTTCAAGGTGGAGGTGACGTCTGGACCAAGAAGGCCTCAGATGGTTGGTGAGGAGATTTCAGAGCACACTGGGCGTCTATCCCGTCCTGTGCACCCCAGTGTAAGTTGCATTGTCTCTGGTTCTTGGGCTTAGATCCTGGTAGTTGAGGGAAAAATAAGAAAGGGAACCTCGACTCAGAATCAAATGACGAACTTCAGCATTCCAGCAAAAGCAAATCAGATCCAAAACATAAGAATGGCCATCAACCCTTGGTCATCACCTCTGCCGTCACGCTACATTTCTTGCAAAGTTAAAGCAATGATATTCTACAGACCAGCATGATTTTAGATTTTGACCTAAAATCACATTTTAATTATTTTTTATATACAAGACAACTACATTTCTGAGGTGCAAAATCTTTCATGTCTACAGTTTGATTTGCATTTAGATAGTAAGTATCTGCAAAGTATAGAGCTGGCATTAGTAAGATGCCTTGGATGAAATTTTATTTCATAACGGCTACCTAAGGAACTATGTAACTCTTAGGAACGGCTGTCGACCAATAAAATAAACAGAAGAATGCAGTTGCAGATGGACACACCTCATAGTTTGATTCCGGCTCTGTTGAGGCGCTCTGGTGGTTAGCAGCTGAAAGACATGCACACAAACGGCTGTCACAAGCTGTCATTGAAGGGGTGGCCCAGCGGCCCAGTGTCTCCTGTCCGCCACTCTGTGTTTAATTCTCCCTGTGTTGTTTATATTTTTTCCTACAATCTAAAAACACATAATTAGATGCAGTGTTGGGCATTTCAGGTCCAGAAGCTACAAATCCAGACCACGATTTCTTTTCTACCAAGCAGCTGAGTACTCTATGACTGTGACTCTCTATGCTGAGGTGGTTGGTAGAAACAAAATCGTGGTCTGGATTTGTAGCTTCTGGACCTGAAATGCCCAACACTGAAATTTAGATGAAGTATCGTCAGCCTGTATGGAAGATGGACCATAGTTGTGTTAATAAACTGCACCTTCCTCCGTGATGTAACTGCATGCAAACTTTGAACCAGGTAAATTCAACAAAAGTCGTGGTCATTTTTAAAGCACAGAGTAAATGATAGTAATAACCATTTCCAATACATCTATAAAGAATCTGATTGGTTGGCATCCACTACAAGTACCTACTTATCTATTTCGTGTTGCTACGCTTGTTCTGGTAAGAACGTGGTGTATTATCTGTACCTGCTCATTAAAGATTAAGTTCACTGCGCTACAGGAAGCTGTATTTAGTGTATGTGGTGCATGAAGCTGCGAAGCTCATTCGTCATCTAAATGTCACCTGAAAAAAGAAAATCCTTCTATCCTCTATCCTTCAGCAGCTCCTGCCCCCTGCTTTTTTCCATATCATCAGAATAATATTTTGGCCTGTTGAACATCAGGTTAGTTCTACGGTAATGGACTTAGGATCAGAGGAAAATCTGCCTGCAGTTTGAAAAGAACAGGCTTGCTTTTCTTGAGATAAATTAGTTCTCTCCTGTTGCATCCCGACTATCAATTTATACTGCACAATGGGTTGCATCTTTCACCAAATGCATGACATTTTGGTAACGGAATTATCTCTGCCATAGAGTTGCCAAAATGGTCCTTTAAACATACCGCAGATAGTTCTCTCTCACTACAGACCATAAACGCTGCTCATGGGGTTTGGAGCGCAGCTGAAAATAGCAGCTTTACCTGCTGCAGGGGGGGGCTCCGACTTCCTCTGAGCTCGGCGGTAGGCAAACAGGATAACTCCCCCAGTCACTAGTAAGTCCCCACCTATGATGGCCAGCAGCCGAATCCCGTCCAGCTCATAGCAATCTATACAGCCTGCTCAGTATGACCGTAACAGAAACGGAGGGAAAAGGAAGAGATCAGGGGCAGATTAAAGTGAGAAAGGGATAACAGCCCCCCGACGATAGTAAGAAAAGCAGAAAAAGGGACATTAAAGAGTACTGGGACAGTGGGAATTAAAAAGGGACCAGTAGGATTACGACAAAAGCACGTCAAATCTTTATTCCAGCGTTTCCCAATCCGGTCCTCGGGGACCCCCTGGGAGGGAGCAAAAACATGGACTGTCTGGCAGGAAGGGAGCAAAACCATGGACTGTCTGGGCTTCCCCAAGGAACGGGTTGGGAAACACTGCTTTGTCCTACTTTGAGTTTAACAAGTGTGCAATTCAAAACAATTATTTATGTTAAACATACATATAGTGATATAATATAACATTTTAAACCAGTAAAAACATTTATATACTCACCCTTTCCACTAAAATAAAACATGTTTTTTTCACCTGTACTATTGATACAGTAATAAATCACGTCCTTTTTGTCTCCCTTATATGTAAATGAATATTCGTCGTTGCCAGGGTTACTTATGGGTTGCGATTTTGACCCCCATTCTTTGGATCCTCCCGGACATGTCAATGTAACTTTGCCCGATTGCACTTCTATTTTCCCTGAAAAACAGACAAGGAGACATCCATGCACTGCAGTCCACTTCACTTGTCCTGCTTTTTCACCATGAATTTTTGTCTCACTAAGATACAGCATACAGACATTTTAAAATCAATACATACACAAGAAATGTTCTACACTGTCAGAAAATAGTGGACAGCCCTGGTACAGTTTTGTTCCCCAAGGTACAAACAACATTAATGTACCCTCAATGGTACAAACAACATTAATGTACCCTCAATGGTACAAATAACATTAATGTACTCTCAATGGTACAAAAATGTTCCATAGAGTCCATTTCTGTACCTTAAAAGGTACATTTACCTACAGCTAAGTGTACAACTGGCAGACCCTTGAGGGTACATCTCCAGTGACAAGTACTTGTACCCGCAAAGGTATAAATGCTACTTTTTTTCTGACAGAGTGCATGCTATCTTTTTATATTTTAAATTGAAAATATGGCACCTTCTGTTATTTATTCACAGTACCGTTACATGCATAATGAATGCAACAAATTATAAAGAGATTAAATCATTATATGCTTTTGTCATATTACATATTACAGACTCCACAGCATAACAAACAATGACTTTTTTTTACTTTCGTAGTGAACCTACACTATATATTAAGCACAACACTGATAAATCACATTTTAAATTATACTGATAAAAAACATGTAATCATACCTATAGATTTTACATATACATTCTACATCATTAGCAGATGCTAGCGCCGTGGTGATAACCTGATGAAACAGTTTGTAAACACGGCTGAATCGATAATTACTCAGTAAAATTTGAAAATAACAAAAGAAGCCCGAGTTCTCTAAAAACGTTCCCTCACCTTTGTCCGCCATGACCGCCAGAACGAAGAAGACGAAGAACACCACTCTCATCATTTTCTTTTTGCGTGTTGATTCTCTCTCTGTCTCCACTGGCGTTCAAACTGTAACGAAGTGTTACAGAAATGGCTCTGATTTGGGCCTCGATTAAAAGGAGAGTTTAATATACCTCAAGCTTGAGCCTGGACGCTGTGTCTTAGCCGTACTTTGCCCCTCTATTCTCTCTCTCTTATGGCAGGAAGCAACAGCAGTTATGGCTGAGCCCTGAAGTCGATCAGAGATGAGATTTCATGCAGTGCAGGGGGACAAGAGGGGTCGGTCATGGGGGGGGGGCTGGTTGAAGTCGCCACCTGCGAGGTAGCTTAGAGACCCTTTCAAGTGCATGTCGCCTGACTGTCAAAGTGTATGTTTTCCACTCACAAAAAGAGACAAAAGACACATACTGCCTGAATAAAATTGTAATGGAAAGTTCTGTCAGATGCAGTATGGACCCAGGCAGTAACATGCATGTAAAAGGATACAATGTTAAAAACTGGAATACAGACTACAGATTTTCTGTTCAAAGAAATTAAGAGTAGTTTCTCAACCTGACACAGTTTCAAAGTGTAATTGCTGGTATAGCTTATGTTAGAGTAAATATATCAGCCTTTTTCAGTCTGAATACTCAGCTACTCCTGTGACCATCTGACGTACTTCCTGCACAGTCCCATGCAGAGAGGTACAGTACAGTGCAAAATTTCACTGTAATGTATTGGCCAATTCGGTCTTTCCAGTTATAATTGTATTTTCTTGGTCTCAGTGTCTTAGTGATTGTCATTTACACAAAACAAAAAAAAAATGGCTTGGTTTTCCTACAAAGCCATTGTCATTCGTCACCTTTTCCCTAGATGGTCGAGTCACCTTAAATCCGTGCTCAGAGTGACCAGTAACTTTTGGCAGTGTTTCTTAAAAATCACGGTAAATCGGATTGGCATAAAATTTTGTTTATTGGTTGCCCCTTATGGATTATCTATACCACGTTTTAAATAGACTCTAAACCAGGGCTCACCGATATGGTGCCCGCGGACCTGTTCTAAAAATAGCACAACTTAACGGTGAGCAGCGTCTAAAATGTTAGGCTATTTGATCATGTTGCTATTCTTCTTTAATCACATTTGCATATATATCCTCCTGAGACCCGACCCATTCATTTATGTCCATTGTAGTGGACATTTTGTTTTTGCATCTATCTTTTCACTGATGCAAGGAAATATATGTATTCCTGTTGTACACTAAAGAGGACATGCTGTGAAATTAAAAATAAAAATAAATTTCAGTACCCGTGAAGTAGCTCTCAGTTTCAAAAAGGTTGGTGACCCCAGATCTAAACATACATGTGAATTATGTTTAAACATTTTGAGCTTCAGAAGGTTCCTTCTAATCAGCACTGGAAGGCTGCTTGACAGAAATATATTAAGTAAGCCTTCACTAATTCGAAAACAATAAGGTTTATGGTGAGAATTCATTCAATACCTGATAACAAGGGGTTAATGAAGAAGGGTAACATCTTCTACTGTTCAACAAATTGGACAAGACCTTATTCTCACAATGGATCAAAGGATTCGTGCGGGTTATTTAAGTTATTGCAGAGAAAGCGATCGCTGGACTCGTTGAAACCACGCCCGGCAGTGCGCTACGTGGGAGGGCGTTGACACGCAGGATCAGGCAAGAATTGGATCGCGTTAGTCATTGCAAGCGTTTCTTTTGGCCGGGTCACGCTACGGATTAAAAATAAGCAAATAAAGACATTGGAAAAGTATTACAACTGGGCAAATTTAATCATGCTGAAGATTGCGGTGCACGGATCTCATCGACAGCTCCTTGTCCTGATCGGACTCGTGGCGTCAGGTGAGAGGAAGTGAACAAACTATTTTTCTTTGCCAGCACAAATCCTTAGATTTTATAAACAGGGAAAATGTTATTACTGCTTATGCTGTTATATTGTTTCGTTGGGGGGTACAGATGTTTTTAAGTTTACATGTATAGAAGTTACAGTTTTCGGTTTCAGCTAGAAGAGTTTTTGTCATCTTTAGGGTGGAGGAATTATTAATAATTAATAAACATTGGCCACAGGTGGAGTCTGTAAAGGCCATGTTGATATAAGATTTGTTTAATTCAGAGAGAAATTGAAAATCTATACTATACTTTTAGTTGTTTTTGGAATTATTCCAATGTAAAAGAATGGTTAATTACTTTTCAGCATTTGTCGCTCTTATCTTAGACACATTGTCTCGAACTGATCCAACGTCTTCTGCTTCCTGCTTCTACATAAAAACGTAGATTGCGTGCAGTGGCTGAAATCCTGCCTTTATTGCCTTTTCCACTCGCATACCTACCTGGTCTCTTCTTTGGCGTCTTGGCACGACTCTACCGGAATGACAGTGACAATAGGCGTGCAAACAATAGCCTTTTATTAAGAATGGACTTTTTTATACTAAATATAAGTCAAGCAAAACAAAGTCCTAGCTGGTATTGTTTAGCAAGTCTTTGACAAAAGGTTAACCATATGCACGTTATGTTAAATTAAGGCGGCCCAGAAAGAGTCTCATAACAGTCTTTGAAAAAGGTAAAATAATTCATAACGCTCAAGGTTAACTAGTGTCTTTAAAGTGCCCATAGAATATGGGATTGTGTGTGCATGTACGTGCCCTGCAGTGGGCCAGCATACCCCAGCCTACGCTCCGTCATGTCTCATACATGCTTCAGGCTAAGATTTTTTTTTTCTCTTCCCGTTTTGTGTATTAACTCCTCTTAGTTGTTTTATATCAGTGTAATGTATCATTGACTGATGAACATCCTGTGATTTTAAAGCTGAGTTTTAGATTTTAAAGTGTTAACCTAAGTCTAATCTTAACTTGATCTATATTTGTTACATTTTAAAATTCCGTCATAGTGACGGTCGCCCTGATTAGATGTTTGCTGTCAGTTGATTGGATCTAAGATTGAAAGTCACAGTTTGTAAGCACTGCTACAGTTCATGGGGCAACTGAGTTATACCACAAAGTGCCGGTTCATTGTGTTACAATGAACCCAGAAAAAAAAGCCATTTCAGCGGGGGCTGTTTTCTGTCATACAACCTTGGATTCAAATGTTATCAGTCATGACCGAAGTCATGGGGACATTATGGTGTGTGGAAATGCAGTGTGTTCTGCTTATTTAACACGTTCGGAAGATTTCACTTTGGTTTAGCAAACAGTATTTTTCTTACCAGATATTTTGACTTTTGGACACTTGCCTCCCTCAATGCCAAGTGAGACTCGAAAAGCTGTTTTTCAGGTCTGAAGGTTTTTCTTGTTTGTTTGTGTTTCCTCAGTCTTTCTGGTTCTCGTCTACTGCAGTGATTGTGAGGTTTGCTGGACTTTGGCAGCGCGCCGAACTGGTCAGACCAGACCTCTTTATGCACAGACACAGAGAGTAGCCAGTTCCGTGGTACCCCTGAATGTTCCCAAACAAGGAACATGCTGGGAGACATAAATCCCTGTTGGATAGCTTCCTTCTGAGACATCCTTATAGGATAAGGATCACTGAATTATCTCAGCTCTGAGGATCAAGGAGCGCTTCCATTTCATCTGGATTTCCTTACCCTGCACCCTGTCCACTGTGGAGGCTTTTGACCGCTACAGTGACTTCATTTGCAGTGATATTGCACTTTTCCACTGGCATACAGGAGTGTAACAATACATTATGTAATAATGCTGCATTGTGTAATAACTCAGCAAAATGTAACAAATTTTCATCACATAATGAGATGTTACTACATAATGCATTGTTACACAACGTGGCAAAAACACTGCATTACGTAACAACTGGACAAAATGTAACAAATTTATAGACTATATTACAATTTTATTTTACCCCATCATTATTATCATTCATTGTTGTTATTATCATCAATTTGTTTCTGTCGAGTTATTACATAATGCGGCGTTATTGTATGCATTGATACAAGGATCCGTATCTGAGCTGTACCATGAAGAGTTACTAGTTACAGCGCGGTTCAGTTTTCCACTGCAGAAGGGTCGGTTTGGTAACGGTGTTGCCGGGTTTTGAGAGCGACAGTGACCTAAAACCGAAGAGATGCTTATTTACTTATCAAGCAGTGTGTTGCATGTTTTAGTATGTGCTAATTTCTGCTGTCACGTTTGTGAGAATGTGTTATCTTACCATTGAACGTTAGCATAATTAGTATTCGCTTGCATAAATTTGCATTATATGTTTTTCTGTTCAGCTGTTCTATAGCTCTTTTTTAAGTACTGTGTTGGAAATTTTCAAGTTTCAATTATCGGGAATGTATCAAAACATTGCAATCTATTATACTATTACTAATAATAATGTATAGAATGTACCCTTTTTTTACTTCATATAATCCATCATGTCAACCCAGATCACCGGTATCTCCATTTATTTTGACTAATCGGATGGCGGTGACACAACCAATCTTACTCTCATGTAACATGGTAAACAACACATAGTTCAACTTCAATTGCATGGAAGTGGCATGACGTGGACCAACCTATTGTAAACTGCAAACTTTACAGAGATACCATTCACACAGCAAGTGACAAATCAACCAATCTTTGTAGCCACCTGAAATGTAAACATCCCAAACGTACGTTTATTACTATAATGCTACAAGTAGTGTTTCTTTTTAGATGATTAATTAGCATTACTGCATGCTTTCCAATTTAGCTGGTTTGTAAACAAACAAAAGACAAATCATGATCATGTGGATTGTGATTCTAACCAAAAATATTGTGATATGACGTTTTGGCCGTATCGACCTTTCAGCTGTCTCCGGAGATTTCCCTGCAGGCCACCTTCTTCAGCTGGAGAGCTTTGCTCACCCCAGGTGTCCACCAGTGGCTCTTAGGTTACCATTATAATGGGGACTGACTGTCCTCTGGTCGTAGCTCCTTGCAACCACTGCAACGAATAAGGCCTTAAAGACGGTTTTACAGTGGGTCCCAGTAACCCTATTCTAAGCAGGGTATACCTGAACCTCTTAGAACCTTTCATTGAAGGTCTTCGTTGGATCACACTTTGATCAGTCCCCAGTAAGCCTTTCACCAGGCTCCAGATGAAATACGTAACTCTGTGTAATGCTTAGGCATGCAAACCTCTCCACCACAGTAAGGTCATAATCCTTAGATAGAGCCTTCTGAAGGTAACATAAACACCACCTTCTAAATTCTGTAATCAACTTGTCAGAAAATGAAACCTGAAGATGGTTATCGTATTACCATTATGAATACAATACTGTTATATTGAGATAAAGCATTACTATATAGATTTTTTTTATAGATATAGATATCTTGAATTAAAACAGATAAACGCTTCAAAATTTTGAATGAAATACGGCTTGTTTCATTTTGGGACTTGTACCTTTAAATTCCCACTATTTTTCTGGGTCTGAGCATTGCACAACTGTGCAAGTACCAGCATGTAAAAGTATTCATACCTGCCACCTGCCACACATGGAATCTGTCTGAGCAAACTGAACACGCTGAGGTTCTCGACCTGAGACAGACTGTAACATAGACTGTAACATTAAGCGTGAATAAACTTCAGGCAGAGATTAAGGGTTTTGTTTACGGTACTTATATTCACAGATCTTAGAACTACGATTTGCTATGAGTACTTCTGTGTGACTTCCCCCCTCATCACTACTGGGAATTATTGAACCGTCAGACGTTATTGCGTTATCAGAATTTCTGGTTACTGTTTACTCATAGTAACAAAGTTATTTGGCTCTACGCCAAGCAAACTGGTGTCTGTGTTTAGTGTATAACCCAATGTACAGAGACATTACTGTTTCTTAGCAGCTACTCGTTAAGCATATCGTAATTTGTGCAGTTTCACAGAAATGGAAAGGGTACGTAAATCTAAGAAATACCAGAAATTATTATTTAGGCTGACGAAAAAATGATGTGCGCAAGTAATCGGTTTCTATGGCAAACGGTACAAATACAGAACCTTCAAACTTCTTCATATAGTCAGTGTTGCACAACGGCCTGCTGATGGTGAATTTTTGAGAATTTGGGAGGATGTCACGCGTCACTCACTGACCTTGTGGGCTGGTAATTCTGCCTTGACTGCATGTATTTATGGGTGAGGGGTCAGGAACTGTCCCCCACCCTTCCAGTCCGGGACCCATCCTTCTAGGTTATAGTTTGAGCATTATTCCTCTCTACCCCCCCCCCCCCCCCCCCCCCAAACCATGCAATCCTCTGCAAACTGCCCAAAATAGAGAGAAGGAGTCTCTTTGTCCAGGTGGCTCAAAGTTCAGAGAAGGTTTGAATTTTCAGAGTTGCATTTTGCCTGGCAAAGAGAACAATGTCCTTCTCTGAAGTAGCATGATATGTTTGTACATGAAAAGATTCGTCATTGAATGAAGGTGGACTGTTGGGGGCCCTTTGAGTAAGATACCAGCTTGTTTTGGTAAATCCCTTTCCATAAATGTATAAAAGACATTGAGGGAGTTGTGCAAAGTCAGTAAACAGCTGGCTGGTTCATCAAAAGGCAACTGAAGGCGGTTGGGTTTGACTGAGAGTGTTGCATTAGTGTCACTAAGAGCTGTGGTTTGACAGCATGTGAGTGAGTGATTTTTAAAGGCCAAGCCAGTAAGACGCAGGTAAAGCGAAGGTAACAAGTTACAACACTTTGAGAACAGGTATGTTTAGTGCCACTGTGTTCCACTGTAACAGGCGGCACACAAGAAACATCGATCAATGCGGTCGAGTATGTGTTACTGTAGCTTTCACTCACTCTACAGCAATGTCTCCCAATCTGATCCTCGGGGAACCCCAGATAGTCCACGTTTTTGACCCTCCCACCTCCGTACTGACAATGTGAACTGGGTGGTCGGAGGAAGCAAATACATGGACTCTCTGGTGGTCCCCGAGAAGAGCACATCTTCTCAAGGCGTACAGATTACCTCCGCAATTAGGATTAATATCCTAGAATTGTCCTTTACAGGCATAGAGTATCGAACTCCGTATGTTACCTTTGTAATGGGTTTTTGAGTTTTTTTTTTTGTGTATCCTTTAAAATTTCCCCCAGGACCACATCTTGTGGAAACATGCAACCTGAATGCCCCCCCCCCCCCCCCAGGGGATTCCCAGGAGACGGTTGCATCCTCATATTGCTCTGTCTCCGTCTAGATCTGCAGGTCCCGTCACTGACAGCAGGAAACTCTCAGCGCGCTGATAAGGCAGGTCACTGAGCAATGGGGGCGAGGTTTTCCCAGCTGTGGGAAAGAGTTCATGTTACGCAAATGCACCCAACCTTCAATGTAGCAATAGAATCAGTGATGAATAACATCGGACTGTTTCTTTGTTTGAATGTGTGTAAATGTTATCAATTTCAATATCTGAAAATTTTATATTATCGATATCAAGTTATCAAACATCCAGGCTTCAGATGGTGCTTGTATATGGGTCCAAATGTAACTGACTATTTGCATAATTTCTTTCCGGTGAGTTGCCTGAAGCACACTTTAATCCAAAGTATATTTTCGTTTGGAATAAGTGTAGAATAACAGTCTCTCTCCTTGAATTGCAAACTTGAAACCTATTGATTACGCACCAAGTTCTTTCATCGCGATGCAACCTACTGCCTCCAGAATGATGGCCAACATTGTTAAGAATGCCTGATAGGAAAGGAAATGACACATGAATTGGAGGTTATTTAAACAGATGAACTGCATTTATTGAGCAATTTGTCATTTATATTTTTGCCTACACCCACAAGCAAGAAGGATATTTACGTACCTTGAGCAATTATCCTAGGACAATAATTGTAAATAAATGGCAGTTTCACAATACGAAATGTTATTTTGGGTCATAATTTGCTTTAACCCTATGTGGAAAGAAATTACATTTGGCATTTGGGGGAATTGTGGTAAGTGTTCCTGGGTAGTTGACTTTTAATGTTGTATTGCTCTTTAGAAATCTGAGTAAGATTTTTAGAATCAGTAATGTCTACACTAAAGCCATCGCCAGTAATTTACTGCCACTGCTGTCGACTTAAATCGATATATTTAACCTTGTATGGATCAGGGAGATTTTTTTTTTTTTATCTTTGCTGAATGTTTAGGCTTAATGTACAGTGCAGTAATTGATGTGATAGGAAAATCTATAGTATCGGGCATTCTGTAAGGTGATACTTTACATTAACTGTCATTATCAGTCATATAATATATTGTATAAGGTTTCGCTTTACATAGAACATTCATAACAGCATATAAGCATACCTTAACATCCTAACATAGCTTAACAACAGCTTTAATATACATTAATAACAAATGCCTCACAACAACAAGGTCCTGGGTTCAATCCCAGGTCCTTTCTGTCAGAATTCGCTCTCCCGTGTTTCTGTGGGTTTGCGCCAGGGGTTCCTGCTTCCCCCCCCGGTCAAAAGGTGTGCAGGACAGGTTGAGTGGCGAGTCTAACTTGGCTGTGTGTGTGTGTGTGTGCGTGCGTGCGTGCGTGCGTGCGTGCGTGCGTGCGTGCGTACGTGCGTGCGTGCGTGCGTGCGTGTGTGCGTGCGCGCCCGCCCTGTGGTGTGTTGGTGACTGCCCTGTGGTGTGTTGGTGACTGCCCAGGGTTGGTTCATGCCTGTGCCCATTGTTCCCAGGATAGGCTCTGGTCCGCCCAACGACCCCAGTTGGGATTAAGCAGTTTCAGAAGGTGGATGGATTGTATTGTTTATTTTTATTATAATTTGTTAATGTTTATTGCAGTTGTTAAGGTATGTTAAGATGCTAAGGTATGCTTATATGCTGCTTATGAATGTCCTATGAAGGCGCAATTAATGTAAAACGTAACCTTGCATATTATATGAGTAATAATGGCAGTTTAAGTCAAAAGAAAACACCCAGACCATTGTGCCCGACTCTGCTCTTTTGCCTGAACTGTGTTTTGCTTTCCTTAGTGTTTTCTCTTAGGCCAATTGCAGAATGGATTATATTTTGTTTTTGTTATTCCTGTCCGGACTTCTCAAACCCTTTTCTCCACCCGGTGTTCCTATTCATTTCTCCCTCCTTTGTGTCAGGTGATTCCCGTTCACCATCCCGCCCAGTGCTGCTCTTAAACCTTAACAACACACATTGCTGTCCTGAGTGGTTACACATAGATTTATATTTAACGTTTCTGATTATAATAATAAAACATTTGCTATATATAACATGTTTCATTGACAAATTCTGCTTGGCTCTTTTGCCTTCTAAGTCATCCAGTAACACTTTACATTAAATAAATCATTTACAAATATTTTGAATTCATATTGGGATTGGGATATTGGGATTGAACCTGTGCAGAAATTAGAAATCCAGTCCGAGATTTTGTTTTAACCAACCAGTAGAGTAGTCTGTGACTATGAATCTTTATACTCAGCTGGTTGGTTGAAACAAAATCTTGAACTGGATTTCTAATTTCTGGACCTGAAGTGTCCATATCTGAATAAAGGCTCCCTGCTTCACTGAAACACTGCCATGGCATCTATAGTTACTTCCCTGCCTTGTGAACCTGTGTGAACCTGTGCCTTGTGATCCTGGCCTGCAGACCTGCACAGCGTGCATAAACACAGGCAGCCGCACGTCTGACTGTGTGATGTCCTACGTAGCGGGATCCCACCGTGTCTCTCTGCCCCTAGGTGTGCCGTGGGTCAGGGGGATAACAGCCTACACCTCGAGTGAGCAGGAGGCCGTCAATGGGACCAGCACCAGACTGAAATGTACCTTCCAGACTTCGGAGCCCGTCAGTTCATCCAGTGTGACTGTCACCTGGACTTTCCGACCTCAGGGTCAGAGTCATGAAGAATCGGTAAGTCACGTGACATATAAGTGACAAGCACGTCTGCGGGTCCTTGAGCGAGGCCCTTAACCCCCAGCTCCCTGGGGGCCCCAACAGGAGGCTGCCCTTCGCGGACAACTTGAACATATAAATAATTATGTATTTATGAGGGAGGGAGGGAGGCGTAAAAACAATTTCCCCACGGGGATCAATAAAGTATCAATTTTTATTATTATTATATTATTATTATAATTACTATTATTATTATTATATGCACATGTGAACCAGCTCTCTCATCAAAATAAGAGAACAGATCATATAGCGGCGATGATTTAGTGGATTGTATTTAGGTAACATCCACAACGTCATTCATTAATGTAGCCTCCATAACTGAAATGACAAATGGTAATGAAGGGGCACAAGTAACTTAGCAACTCAGTTACTACTCAAATGCTTATCATGAACAAATAGTTACTGCATGAAATGCAGGAACCGTTATTATTGATTAATGTTGAACAAACATGGGATCAGTATGTAACTAAGTAGTGTATTGCTACATTATTGTGCCTTTTCAAAGTGTTACCAGACTTATATTACAAATAGATTAACATACAAATAACAATTGAATGCCACTGGAAAAAAATATATAAGATTGCTTAGATTTGAAATATAATGTAAGCAGAAATGAAAGAGTTGGATGCAAAACTCACAGAAGCCTTCAAAGATAAATTCACTAAAATTTCTGCCTGATGACACTGGAAACCTCTTTCCCTGATGGAGCTTCTGCGATTTATCTGTCCCCCTTGCAGGTGCTGTATTACAATGAGAAGCCCATCATGGTCGACTCTGGCCTCTTTCACAAGCAGGTGGAGTGGGCTGGAGACATCATGCGAAAGGATGCCTCCATCACACTACGCAACGTCAAATTCAGCTATAACGGCACGTTCACCTGCCGGGTGACGAATGCCCCGGACGTGCACGGCCGTGCGGGAGAGCTGCGCCTCAGGGTGGTTACTTCAGGTCAGTCTGACACCACACTGATATTTCCACCCATATTCCATAGCCACTTATATGGTGAAGGATTATGGGAAACCTATATCCCAGGAAGCAGGGATAGGGAAACACCCTGAATGGGATTCCAGGCCATTTCAGGGAAGAGACACTCAAAGTCTACATATGTGGAATTTGCATGTTCTTCCCGTGTTGGCGTGGGGTTTCCTCTGGTTTACCCTCCCACAGTCCAAAAACATGCTAAGGTGAACTGGAGTTACCAAATTCCCCATCTGCGTGAATGGTGTGTCTGCTCCACACTGGGTTTGCATCCCATCCTGGGTTATTCCCTGCCTTATCCCCTTTGTTTCCTGGATAGACTCCGAACTCTTGCAATCCTGTATGGGACAGGCAGTATAGAAGATGGATGGATGGATGGACTGAAAGGTGGATTATTTGTTGTTCTCTTACAGCCTCCGTTTCTGAGATCACAATACTGGCTGCAGCCATCGGGGGCGGCATTCTGCTCATGCTGATCATCCTCATCGCTGTTGTCACGGTCAAACATTACCAGAGGAAACACGAAGACATAGAAGAGCACTGTCCCAGTGAGAAGGGCTCCACCATGTGGTGAGATAGTGAGCGGTGGTGGGGGGTGTAGAGAAATGTGACATGGGACACTAAGCCCCCACAATCTCCTTTCTCCAGGAGCATGTTGGGTATTCTCCCTGGGACTCTGAAACCCTGTAGAACTTTCCTGTACAGCACCTCTCTGAATCCAAAGCCCGGCGGACTCTTCTTCTGTCTTTCCACTATCTGACCAATCGGGAACCAACTGGGCTGGGGGGGGGAGGGGTGTGATTTGTTTTTCTGTTACAATCTGGAAGCTGCTGTAAGGCGCTGATGGCGAGCTTGTGCTGACGGTTCAATGCTGTTTGAGCAGTACAAGGTCGCAGTGGCTTACGAACGGTATGAAGTGAAAACAGAAAGTAGCAACTGTAATTAAAAAAAACGACATCTAGAATTCCAAGTATCAGTCAAATAGAAGCTGGCAGAATTCCTGAGTTAACAGCTATGGGAAAAAGGAACTTATATTTACTTGAGAGTATTATTTTTCATTTACAGTATTACAGTAAAAAAAAAACAAAAAAAAAAAACATGCAGAACATTGTTCTCTGAAGGTCATGCTGATTCTGACATCTCAGCCAAGCGAAGGCCGCCACTGGCCTTGATGTCTCCCGGTATGGAGTTGGGCCAAAACCCTGACGACTCCCTACGGCTCGGTAACATCAGGAGCGAGTCGTGCTGAAACAGGGCCCTGCGTCTCCTCCTGGTCGGGCTCCACCGTGGAAATATGACACTAAGCCACTCTGGCAGAAAAGCGCCTTGACAGTGGACTTCTTGTATAGTATTTTTTTTCTTTAAAATCTGCACTTTCCCTTTCTGTCTTTTAAAAAAGTGTTATATTAAGGATACTAATAGAATATATTAATAACTGTTGAAAAAATTTGATTGTATAATTCTTTATTCTCAATCCTGTATCAATCAAACTTTACATTTTTCACTGATTCTTCTTGAGGATCCCAGTACACTGCTAGCCAGTGACTTCATACTACTAACTAGTGTAATGTGTGTATGTGCACCTTCGGACACTTTCTAAATTTGGTTAAGAAATTTCCATTGTTATAGATAATAACTGATTAAATCGGCTGCATTTCCTGCTTGTGCTCAGAGGTCAGAAAGTGAAAAGCTTAGCATTTAGCGTGCTAATGCACTGTAATCGTTTGATTGTTAAATCCAGCCCTGCTGGCTGCAGTGTTGTGGGGTCTTTTATCCTGTCTCAAACTTCCCCCTGAAAGAGTGCACTGCATAGCCACTGGTCAGACATGACTAAAACTGTACGCCAATTTCTACAAGACAAAGGCAAGGAGAGGAAAATTAGCCCAACAAAGAAAAGACACATTTTGTCCAGTGCTTGCAGAGCAGTGATACAGTTCTCTACCTCCAGTGGACTGTGCAGACATTCCCCCCCCCCCCTTCCCCCTCCCTGCCCCCAATAGCACAGTTCCTTTATTTTCCTTAAGCCAAGCTGTTGGCTTGGTGATCGTAGTCTCTTTTTCGGCTCACCACCCATTTACCATCTGGCGGTTCCTGACGTCGGTCATCTGTGTGTCTCAGTCAAGTAGAGGAGGCCACGCACCTGCATGTGATGGAGGAGAAGGCTCATTTTGAGAGGCCAGCGAGCCGAGCTTCAGCGTCCAGCTTGAAAGACGAGGGAGAGAAGCTCTGTGACAACAGCGTGGTGGTGCTGGATTGAAGCAGTCGAAGCAGGATGTGGCTGCCATGCTCTTGGCCCGGAACAGAATGTTCCGGACTTGCACTTTAAAATGCAGTGACGTACCAGTGTACTGGCTGGCTGTAACTACTAAGATTACCCCTTATAGTATTGCTGTGCTGCAGAATTACGGTGGAAGAACTTCACTATGACTGGGGAGTCAATCTTTTAACTGTAAACGAAAAATGGTAAGAGAAAAAGGGCAAAAACAAAAATTCAAGTTGTTTTAGATTGGTTTTTTTTTTTATTGCTGTGTATGGAAGGCAAATCGATGTTTTGTGGAAACCTGGAATTCTTCACATCGTGTACAAAGTAGCCGTCATGCCTCCCCGAACAAGTCCGTGCAGCATTCCGAAGAACTATGTGGAAGTATTCTTGTGTGAGAGAGGTCTCTAAAACGCCACGCCTTACCAGACCAGTGCTGGTCACTGAGGATGTGGGTTTTTCCAGTAAAAGAATAATCCATCTTACCCATGACTTTTTTTATTATTATTATTTCAGTTTCTTGTTGTGGACCTTAGAACGTAAACGTGGTCTGCAGACCTGCAGATAGTACTATTACAGTGCACATATACCCACGTTTTTACCATGTCAGAATATATTCCTTAAGTAATGGAGGACTTGACAGCCAGACCTGAAAGCCAAGAAGATGCCAGAGGTCTTACATCCTCAAACCATCCTGAGATCAGCATTTCCTCATCTGACCCATTCACTGAGCTACTTGTTTTTACTACTCGGTAGTTCTTGGAGTAGCTAAAGTCGTTGTAATTTTCAGAAAACCACTCAAATATCTTGCTAACAATCTTATTGGAAAAACTTGATTATGGTTCTGTTTGTATACATTATACCTGGTATATTTTTAAAAGTTTTTTATATTTTTTGTTTTTAATATCTCTTCATAGTTTTCATTTTTTTTTTTTTTTTAAAGAATTAAAAAAATATTTAAACATTTTCTTTTTGTATATCATTGTTATCAGATTGTTAAATTCAAGCAGTTGGGTGCTGTGCATGAGCAGTCATGAATCATGTATTTTAGCTTGTGCCAGAAATTCTTTGTGCGTGTTTGTGTGAGAGTGCAGGAGTACGTGTTACACAGAGTGAATCAAAGTCCAAATCTGTTGAGCAATCTGGCGATTCCAGTGCCAAACTTTACAGAAAGGTAAGAGAAAGAGAAGCTTTAAAGAGCGGTACAAAGAGACGAGAAATAAAATGGAAACATTATCTTCATAAGGATGATGAGGATCCTTGAAAACAAATACCTACATACATACATATGCATCTATATACATACATGCATACATACAGTTTCCCTTGTTAAGAAAACAAATCCATCCCATGCACCAAGATTTTATCTGCATACTTCCTTAATTCCTCCTGAAATGACCATTTCCTCATCTGACTCATTCAATGAACTGCCTGTTTCATTATTTGGTAGTTCTCCTAATAGCTAAAGGTGAGTAAATTTCAGCAGACAGATTCATATCTATTATTTAATGTTGAATTCAGGGCAATATATGCAAGCAAGGAACATTTAGTGCTTGTGGTTAATTACCTACTGCACATCAGTGTTTGGTACATGTCCAGACATCTACCACTCAAGAGTTTACATCTACAACAAACTGTGCAAAGCATCAAAGTTGTAGCTCTGCATTATTGGAGATTTGGTTTTAGAAGAAACATTTCATGTATTAAAATACATCAATGAAAATAAATGCCAATAATTCTCATTCCAGGTGAGAGAGGGAAAATGTGCTTACTCTGCTTTCACTGTGTTACTGTTTGTTGAATCATTATTTAGCATTCAACAAATTACACATATGCCTTCACAAAGACTGACCTTTTAGACACCTCTTAGACGACGTGCGTCAGCCACACTGAGGAAAAGCTGCCTGCTGTTGGCCAGAAGACGCCCGTCCCTCATTTCCACCCATGGGTGCGGTGGAAAGAAAATAACAAACTGTCCTTGATGAATAGTAGCAGCATGTCAACATCTGGCGATGGCTCAGTGGCAAGAGACAAAACACAGTGATACTTCACATCTCAGGAGAGTGGAGAGTAGTATTATGCTGCAATTGTCAAGCATTACAAAATGCTGAAGCCAATTATATTCATTGAACTCTCAGAGCAAATCTTGGTTAATCTGAGTTGTTATTGCACAAGGACATACAATTTCCAAATCTTTCCTTATCATTATTATTATTATTAACTCAACTATTCACATTTTTAGTGACCGTTTTCAGGATGAACAAAGTTGCCCCCATCCAGCTATAATGGATTATTCTACTTATTATTATTATTATTCTATTATATCTACTGAGACTTCACGCCACCCATCTTTCTTTTAACACTGGAGTCTACCAGTTGTTTCACTGCCAAACGAAGTGACACAAAGTAGCCTAATAACAGACAAAGATATCGGTGCAGTCATACGGGACTAACATTACATCTCGTTTATTTTTTATACCATCCCGCTAGTGTGGTAGAGACATTGTGAATAGTTTTGGAGAGAACACAATTAAACGGGCATATGCAATAATTCCAGACTAACCATAGCAAAAGAAGGAACAGATAATGGTTTTACCGCGCACTTTGATTAGCATATTATTGATGTTTCATCTTTCTCTTTCGGCTCTAAAAAATAGCTAAAATTGCCCAAAAGGAACCCCAGAGAAGTTAGTCTGCGCATGGGCACAATGAAGATGTGCAAAATTTGCACGAAAAAGGGGTTCAGGATTCAAATCCTCAACCCTAAAGATGTGAGATAACTGTGGTACCCAGTGAGCCACCATTACGCTCAGGATTTGGTAATAATATCTCTGCATCTGACATCACTGTTGCTAAGAGACCCTTCTGTATAGCCATCCTCATTGAGGTGGTGAAACTGAACACCAGCACAGAGTGGAAAAATGCACTGTTGTGTCTAATAGAGACCGCTTTGTCTAAAATCTACATAGGCCTACCACACCTTGGGAGATGGATCTATGTACCAGGAATTGGGTCTCTGGTTTGTGTGTATTTTCTCAGTTACAAAAAGTAGGCCTATTTGTCAATAGTAGATTACTGGGTAAAAATACAGGAAGTGTTCATACAGATGCATTTAACAAGTTCACCCTTCCACGGTAAACTGCTAGATACACTATTTAACACAATGAACATAGTTAAGAACATCTGTAAGATTAAAAGTAAATTGAGTTGCGGACTGAGGAAAAAAAATAGCCTTCCCACGTTTTCAATATCGTGCTTTACAGGTTTGAAAACGGCTTAACTGAAACATTTAGATGGGAGATGCAGTCTTACAGCAACGCCGACCTATACAGTCCCTTACATTTGAAAAGTGAGAAATACAAAGCATTTAACGCGGAAAAAGTGCACTTTGACACACACACAAACCTGAACCTGATATTTGTAAAGTTATAGACATACTAAATGTTTTAACCTGAAAAATACGCAGTGCTTATCAACAGATTATCAACTCTTATGTAAAATAAATATTACGAAAGCAGGACGCATTTTAACTAGAAGACCCAACCCACTGTTCAAGCAAAATAACGAGAATGAGAATGGAACTTTTGTTAAATCGATGTTTTGATGTTTTTGGCCGAAAATGGAAAGGCTGGGGCTGCGCGGCACCCACTTCCTGAAACACCTGTCAGGCAGGTAGGCGCCCCGCCGCAGATCAACATGGACGCGCCGAGCCCGCATCTACAGCTCTGACTTGCTTGGTTTCATTTTGTAATTTGTATTTTGTATTCCTTCCCCACGTATATTACTACTTTATTAAAATATGGGGTGCCCTCAACATCCCAAAACCGTCTTGTTCCGCCTTCTGGTCCTCAGTTTTGGTGAGTTTATTCCAGTTTTCGTTTGTTTGTTGATTCCCGCTGTACACGAAGCTAATGACCTCGTACGGAAAAGTTTAGGTTGCGGCTTAATTTCTCATTTTTATTAGAAAAATCTGCTTATTTATCGATTTTAGTTTGCTAGGGATTATTAAGATGTGATATTTTACAAAATATTATGAGTGTCATGAGTATTCGTGGATGATGAGTATTCGCATTCGTTTGCGATCTATGGAAACGTGTTGGTGAATGTTAATGATTAGTTTAACATGTATATTATAAAATGTATTGAAAACGTTCCCTTAAGCCAGTAATTAATTGTTAAAACGCGACCGAAGTCGACCTTCGGCCAGACACTGACAGCGGCGTCTCCCGAGCTCAGTCTGGGTTTCTGTGTAACAGGACGCGGATCGCAGCCCTTTCCTGCTGGGCTCCAGGAAAACCTATTTCGTATGCGAATACACGTTAGTGTGCCTCGAAGTACATTAAGCTTATTGTATGTCATTTTTTTTTCGAACAAATTCATTCTATCATATTCCCACCCTTATTTAAGTTTTCAATATGCAGACAGCCTGCTTTTCGTTTTAACAATGATAAACTGCTGTGAATTTATTTTATGAGTTGTGAGTTTATCACATATACTGAAAATCAGTTAATGATCAAGGAATACTTTTAAAACTCGGATACTGGGAACTTACTGAAAAATATATGCTGTACTTTTCTGTAGAATTTCAGCTCTTGGTCATTTATGTTAGGGTGGTATTTTTCAAAATATAATACGTGGTGCATGTGTTGGTTAAAAAACAGTGACTAAGGTATGATTAAAGGCATTATTACAAATTGGTTTTGGTTGGGTGTGTTACAAAGGTGACATTATCAGAAAGGAGAACAGAGTAAGAGCACAATACTTTTTTAAGAGTGTGATGAATGATGGCTCTTCATTGGATTGCATTCTTGTTCTGGTAATAATGTCCCAGCCCGCTGGCTATTTCTCAGATGGAACATTTTCCGTTCTTCTTTCCCTCTTCTCTGTGCTCCATCTCGTCACCCCTGCCCCCCCTTCTCCGGTTTCCTACCCCTAGCCGTGTGCCAGGTTCGTCCCATGCAGATCAGCTGCTCAGGTACCCTGCAGGCCATCCAAGGCGAGATCCTCACCCTCAGCTGCTCCTTCTACTCCACCAGCCCCGCCAGCAGCCGTACCTCTGTGGAATGGTCATACCGACCAAAGGGAGGTGGCGACACACTGTCGGTGAGTCTCTGTCCCCCCACGAGGGGAATTGAAACCAGACTGGATGCTGACTACTAAGCCATTAAGACGCAGAACTGTTGCTTAGAAAGCAATAGGTCAATTTGAGGTGACCGCTATGAATTTTGTTTTTGGTAACAGCTGTTTCGATGAAAGAATGTCATAGACGAATCGTTTGTGAGATTCAGTAGGTTACAGTGTTATGCTTGTGGCCAGAAGGTCGTCTGTTCAAATCCCATGGCCAGTATAGTGATTTAACTGTTGAGACCTTAAGAAAAACCTTTAACCCCAATTGTTCCTGGGACTGGTTGACTCTTTCTCAATTGAGTGTCACTTTGGATAAAAGTGTCTGCTTAAACAAACAAACAAAAACAAACAAGTAAATAATGAATGAATGAAATTAGAAACAGCAAGAATGGAATAAAATGAGTGATTCTCATTTTAAGACCTCTGAACGTAACTGCAAATCAACATCTCTGAACATGCAGCTGATCGAGATAATATTATTGTTGCTGAATAATTAAAGTTTTTTTTTTAACTTCTTGGAACTTCAAGTCATACAGCCAACCCAAAAATTTGTATGTATTATGTAGCGATATCATATCGATATTATATGGCGCATGCGCAATAATCACCAGGACTTCAGATCAAAGGCAAAGCATACTATACGGGCATTTATTTACGCCCTATATTTGGTAAGCAGATTAATAGTACAGCTAAAATATTAATGAGATGCATTTTGTGACACCCAAAATTTGGTAATCTTTATTAAATTTGGTTAGCGGAGCACACCACATCATGCTGTTTTGGTATACTACGTGTGGTATACTATGTTTGGTATACTTTAGTGCGATTTGCACTGAAGGGTCAGTGAAGAAAGGAACAGCTCAGCAGCCACAACATCTTTTAAAAGTGGAGATATTGAGGATAAACAAGGTAAAAAGACGTTGGTGGTGTGGCAGTACTTTTTGCAGTTTAAAGTCTGACGCATTTATTAAACATAAGGATACAGTGCTGAATTTACTAACTTTTGGGCGTCATAAAATGCCTCAATATTTTAGTCATACTATTAACCTGCTTAACAAATTGTGGCCGTAAATAAATGTCCGTATAGTACCGAAAAGCTGGCATTTGGGCAAATGTTTTGCCTGTCATCTGAAGCCCTGGTGATTATTGAGCATGCGCGATATAATATCGTTATGATATCGCCCAGTCCTAGTTTTATGCATATGAAGGGAAGATCAGAATGTTTGATGAATA